CCCCAAAACCCCAAAACCCCAAAACCCCAAAACCCCGTGTCTAGAGTGAAATTGAAGCGTTGACGTAATTTCTTAACAATAAGGCATATTAATACTTAATTCCTATTAGTTCTTTATAAAAATAAATTTTCAAGAATGGAAGTTAAGGAAGAGAACAGAGAAGAGTATGAGATCCATGGAGGGTTTAACCAGGATACCATCTCTGCGAAGTATGATGAACTCTGTAGGAACTATGAGGAGGTTTATAACTCAGTAGGGTGGCCAGATCCTTCGCAATGCGCAGAGAAAGCTGTCGAGCATGGATACACACAGGAGAGCGAAGTCCTTGATATGGGATGTGGAACTGGACTTGTGGTGGACTATCTTAAGGAAAAATCAGGAGCTGATACAGTAAAGGCTATTGGAGTTGATGCTAGTGATGGTATGATTAAGAAAGCTGAAGAGAAAGGAACCTATACTGAAATCAGAAACTTCCTCCTTTGTAACCTAGAGTCTTTTAAGACTAACCATTCAGACCTGATTGGAAGATTCGACTATGTTACTGCTTCAGGACTTCTCGCTGAAGGTCATGCTACCCCAGAAGTCTTTGACGAGATGATTGAAGCACTCAAGGTTGGAGGATATGCCATCTTCACTTCAAGAATTGAGTACCTTGAGCCACTGAACTACCAAAAAGGAATGGATGAGAGAGTTGAAAGCGGCAAATGGGAATTCATCAAGAAAGAGGAGTACGAGAAATACTCAAAAGCTAAGGACTGTCCTCTTGGCAGGTTCAAGCCAGTGATGTCAGAGGTCTTTGTGTACAGAAAACTTTAAACATAATTATTTGGATTAATTTCAAAATTTCTTGACTTCTCTCTTACCTATCTTCTCTAAAAATGATAGCAAGCTTCTCAGGCTATCTAAATGCTTTCCATGGAAGCTTTTTACTCGGATGGAATCTTATTATTGTCGGTGAAAAGACATTTTAAAATGAAAATATCGGGTAAAGTAATCTAGGAATTAAAGAATCTTTAATCTCATTATTCTCCAATCGCTTTTAACCATCAGGGGTTTTGGGGTTTTGGGGTTTTGGGGTTTTGGGGTTTTGGGG